TGCACGTGTGTGTGCACGTGTGTGTGCACGTGTGTCCATGTGTGTGCACGTGTGTGTCCATGTGTGTGCACGTGTGCCCGTGTGTGTACATGTGTGTGCAAGTGTGTGCACGTTTGTATCCATGTGTGTGCACGTGTTTGTGTGCACGTGTGTGTGTCCATGTTTGTGCACGTGTGTGTGTCCATGTGTGTGCACGTGTGTCCTGGCACAGGGAGGGCGTGAGCACAGGGTGGGGAGGGGGCTGTGCAGGAGGGCAAGTGGGCATCACTACATGGGGGTGGGACACGTGTGTGCAGGGGGAGGACACACGTGTGTGCAGGGGGAGAACACTTGTGTGCAGGGGGAGGACACGTGTGTGCAGGGGGAGGACACGAGTGTAGGGGGAGGACACACGTGTGTGCAGGGGGAGGACACTTGTGTGCAGGGGGAGGACACGTGTGTGCAGGGGGAGGACATGTGTGTGCAGGGGGAGGACACGTGTGTGCAGTTGGGAGGACACACATGCAGGGCCTGTGTGCATGTGCAGGGGCCATCCTGCCCGTGCCTGTGCACGGTTGCACACGCGTGTGCACAGCTCTGCACGTGTGTGCGGGTGTCTGCACATGTGTGTGCCTGCTGGTGAGTGCACGTGTGTGCTTGTGTGTTTGTGCGTGTTTGTGCGTGTAAGTGCCCGTGGGTACATGTGTGTGGACGTCTGTGTGTGTGCACAGGGTCATGTGTGGGCACGTGTGTGTACATGTGTGGGCACACGTACATGACTGTGCACACGTGCGTGCACGAATACACGCATGTAGCACCTGCGTGTGCGGGGTGGGTCTGCCTGTGCTTGTGCCTGCCAGGCGTGCCTGGGTGTGCACGTGTGTGCACGTGTGTCTGTGCAGTGTCTGTGCGCGCCTGCCTGCCGTGTGCACGTGTGCGTGTGTGTCCGTGTGTGTCAATGTCCCTCCGTGTCCCTCCATGCCTGTACACACGTGCACATGCCTGTACACGCGGTAACACGTGTGTTCACACGTGTGTTCCCAGCCGCCCCTGCCGCGCTGCGCCCTCAGGCCCCGCCCCCC